GTTATGATTACTTTGAATGTTTATTTCTCATCTTTAGCCATCTTCTTTCCCTTCAGTCAAGATAAAGAGTCTCCTACATGGTCCGCCTATGTGGGTAAAATGTTCACCGCTGCCAGCACGTACCTACCCACACATGTGTCCGACATGATGAACCAAGACAGAGCATTCGCCACCGTACGGCTCAACATGTTCGGCCTAAAGAACATCTGTGCCCTGGCGACGTGAGGGATACTTTGTTTTTAAATAAAGGTCCATCCGAGGAGATTTTCCCCTCATCGTACCCGTTTTATCTGTCAGGATCCAGAAACTTCCTCGCCTGCTGGTGGCCTCCTCAGAGGGCTTTCTTTACATTTATAATGTGGATCCACAGGACGGAGGTGAATGTGTCCTTGTGCAAAAACACAGGTGTGTGCAAGCAGACAAACTTACCAGCGACGCTTTAAAAACCTGAAACAAGTTTCAAAGTTTTAATAACCGGTAAAACAGGAAATACAGATTTTGTTACAGGTTAAGTTGTTTGTGGCGCTAGCTGAGCTGGTTTGTTTTGCTTCATTAAGCCTCTCTTTTCTGCTCCTGCAGGCTCTTTGAGTCTAACGAGGAGCAGGAAGAAGAGAAAAAAGGAGAAAACCAAGAGGATGTGCTTCCACAACCAGCTGGCCAATCATATGCTGCCACAGTGGCTCTTCCTTCCACCCCGCCCTCCTCCACCACGCTCATGGGTAATGTGGACTTTTATTACAGAAGCTGCTTGTGGAAGTCTTGGATTCCACATTGAAATCACTCCTTCCTTTCCCTTGCAGGCTACTCAGAAGACGTTGGAGTGCAGAAGGGCGAAGTCATCCCTGAGCACGAATTTGCAGAGGCTCCCATCTGTCTGGACGATGAGAATGAGTTTCCTCCTGTCGGCAACCAGAGTAACTGATCACGTCTCCCGCTGCTTTCCAAGAAACCTCCCTGTGTGAAACAGGAAGATCGGACAGAAATGTTCCTGATATTTGCCGACTCCCAGAAGTTTTCCTGCTGACTTTGGGTCGGATCTTACAGCGTTTACGTCCTGGTGTTTCAGTGTTCTGAGTGCCCTAACCCCCTTCACATCTAAAAATACCCTAAAACAGAGTGGAAGGCTCACTCTTTAAAAAAATAGCTACACCTACAGAACATTTCACAGCTTTCAAAGCTTGTCTCCAAAGTCCTTACTTCACCTTCTGCTAGCAGCACCCCAGACAGCATTGGATATTTGTAATAACAATTGTGCTCAGAGAACCCCAACCAGCTTTATTTTACCAAACATGTGGTGGTTCATGAAGATTTGTGAACTCCCGTGACTTTTCCACTTTAATTTGATGCTAGGCTAGTAGCACAAAGCCAACCGTGTTGTCACACTCTGCTTCAATAATACTAATAATTAAACAGATATTGGTACTTCTTGATTTTAATTTGAAATATCTTGTTTTCTTAAGACTAGATATCATCTTCATCAGATTTGTGTGTAGAGCACCTTCCAGCTAACCCCAGGCTGCCCCAAATGATAAATGATCCGCACTTGTATAGCGCCTCTCAGAGTAAGGACTCCAAAGCGCTTTACACTACAGTGTATCATTCATCCATTCACACACACATTCACACACTGATGGTGATGAGCTACGATGTAGCCACAGCTGCCCTGGGGAGCACTGACAGAGGTGAGGCTGCCGAGCACAGGCGCCACCGGTCCCTCTGACCACCACCAGCAGGCAAGGTGGGTTAAGTGTCTTGCCCAAGGACACAACAGCAGAATTCTCTGTCCGGAGCCGGAATCAAACCTGCAACCTTCCGATTACTGGACAACCCGCTCAACCTGTTGAGATACTGCTGCCCAAAGTGCTGAACACAACGGTCATAAAACATAACAGCCACAGTCTATCAGACACCAATGAGAGAGACATAAAACATTAAATACACAAAGTGTCTGATGTTAATTACTTAAAGAAAATGATCCTGTATTTTATATTTGTGGGCTGAAAAGTGCTTTTGTGCAAATTTCTCTACTTGGTTAATTTCTTAAGGAAATTTCAGGTATTTTATGAAATTTTTGTTAGATTAAAATCTGATATGAAAGTTCCAGAACAAACCCCCTTCTTTCTTTTGTCATCATTTTTTGGGATGGTGGAATGATACCTGATTAGGGTTGCGTTGTAATTGTTTCAAAGACATTTTCCCTTTTTGAATGATCTAACATTAGTCCCATCAGTGGCAGCGCCTCCTAACAAAGGTGGAGTTACCTCCACCAGAGGTCGAGTTATTTGGGTCATTCTACAGCTGATGCTGGCTCATTAGTAATCGGTGTAGCCCATGACTGATAAATAACACCAATTTGTAGATCTCAGATTAAAAAGAAGCCAACAGGCCGGTTTAAACTCTTTAGATGTGGGTTTATAAAACAATTGGAAGAAATGTACCATAAAACTATGAAGTAGGTTTCCACTTTGTGTTCCTAGTCTTCTAGCCAGTTTTTGTAAGCATCAAAAATTAAATAAGTTCTTAGAAATTTCTTTTGTTTATGCAAAAAAAATCCCAACAGACTATCTCAGCTCTTCAGACAACACGAGACAATCAGGCTTGTCATTTAATATTTAGGAAAATTATTTTCCTTTTAAACTATTCATGTGTCTTTTACACACACACACACACACACACACACACACACACACACACACACACACACACACACACACACACGATTATGCTGATTTGGCAGAAAAAAGGTTTTCAATTTAAAAAAAACGTAATGATTATCATAAACGTTATTAAAGAAACCGACTGATTAAACCTGCTGCTTTTGTTCTGGGGTCAGATCTTCTACAAAGATGCTTAAAACTCACCTGAAAGTTGATTTCTACTGCCTCCTTTTCAGCCAGATGCAATGAGAGGATTACTTAAAACAGCTAACTCTAAAACCAGAAGCACAAGTCAGGTTTTCTGTTTAAGCATCTGGCGTGTGATCGCCTGGGCTCAGTTCTTTTGGTGCACCAGACCCTTGGATTTCTAGACGGGCGTTAAATGTGTTGTACCTCAAGTCAAAGAAGGAGTCATTTGTTCAAAACTGATGAAAACAAAACAGTGTGTAACGGACTATTTAAACCATGACACGCACCCGATGTATTACATTACTAGCCGGGGCAGCTATGATACTAATTATGGTGGCAATAAAAGAAGAAACGGAATGCCTCCAGAGTCACAAACGTAACCTGATCACACGTTTGCAGCTCTGGGAGGAGGAGGAGCGGTCAGCATGGTGATACGCTGCAGCTGGACAAGCTCATGGTCCTTGAATTTTTATTTCCAACAAGAGGCTGAACACGTCAACATGTAACTGATAGTTATTTTTACATCAATGGTATTCAACGTTATTTTGATAATATTTTAAGTACATCAGCACATAAACTTACACAATGAGGATTTGTACTGTATGTATAATGTATATATATGAAATTCTATATAGGTCCTGTGTAATACATAACCTGGCATTTACATGTGATTTGCCAAAAGATGGCGCTGTTAGGACTCTAAAACTGGACGGAGTGGTTCAGCTCTGACATGTTAACACAAACCTATTAAACCTGACAGTGACTGAACCAACAACTGTCTCACGTTGATCATTAGCATCAGCATAGAGGATGTTTATGTGTATCTTACTTGATGAAAAACAACATGGCTGAACACCAGATCGCTGAGACACTAGTTTTAAACCCAATGTTTTTCTCCAGCCAGTTGAGGTGGCTCGGGCATCTGGTCAGGATGCCTCCTGTATGCCTCCCTGGTGAGGTTTTCCAGGCATGTCCAACCTGGAGGAGACCTAAATGTAGACCCAGGACATGGTTGAGGGACTATGTCTCTCACCTGGCCAGGGAACGCCTGGGATTCCCCTGGAGGAGCTGGCCCAAGTGGCTGGGGAGAGGGAAGTCTGGGCCCCTCGCCTTAGGCTACTGCCCCCGCGACCCGACTCTGGATAAGCGGATGAAAATGGATGGATGGATGGAGGAAAGATGGTGGGGTATTCCATCAGGGAAGCCTCTAATGATCAAAACCAGCAAAACAAAGTTCTTCATTTTTAGACGTGGTGTCCTTTTACGTTCTTCAAACTAAAACATGTCCTTTTTTCCAGAGGCCTTGTCTATAGGATTTTTTAGATGCACTGATTCTGGTTTGGAAGGCTGATACCAATTTCTGGTTTTGCCCAGCTCTGACCTGCTGATTCAGATCTTTCTCAAAGAACTAAAATTATCACATCTTTCTTCTTTATATTCTGGTTCACTTCTGTTTAAGGGTTAGGGTTAACCACTTAGTTCACAGAATTGGAAGCAAATCATGTTTCTTGTGGAATGGTGCATTTATGGACCCCCAAATAAATCGTGACTAGTCTCGGAATAGGCCGGTCTTACTGAGTTTTGGTTGAACCCAACTTTTAACCCTCTGGAGGCAGGCGTTGCAGATTAGCAACGTTAAAACCTACCTACCTGGTTACTTCACATACGTATTTCATGAGCATTTTGTAACTCAGAAGTACCCCTGAAGGACTTAGTTGTTCGTCCTTTTATCAAAACTTATTTTGAGCCTGAGAGGGTTAATCCACTTTAGTTATTTTGTTAAGAGTTATTGATCTCAGAGGCTTACATCAGCAGCTGCTCAAAAACAAACAAACCAAGGTTCAGCTGCTTTTCCTTTTGAACTTCTGCTGCATCTGGACATTGAACCTCACAAACACCAGTCATAATAACAGCTCAGTGTCCAAAAGAAAGGTTTGCCTCCGGGCCTGTCTACCTACCTTAACGTCTTCCTGTAAAGACATGGAGACTCTTGTTTCTATGAGTTCATGTCTTTTTGTGGCATCGGCAGACCACCTGTGTTGTGTCACAGCACGGTGCTGCTGAGCCATCCGTGCTGTAGTCAGCAGTGGACAGCGACGGGTCAGTGGCAATGTCCCACAGCAGTTCCTCTCTCTTTTGAGACACCCTTTGAGCAACCGTCTGGTACTCAGGTGTATCAAACCGCAGCGGCGTTTCCTCTGACTCGTCTTGCTCCAGATCAAATATCAGCGGCGGGTCGTGGAGCTGCTGCTGTCCCGTTCCACCACCGCAGGCTTCTGCTGCACCTGGCAGGAAAAACCACTTTAAGATATATTTGCATCTGTAATCCTAAAACTTGTGATTCAGAAAACCTCACTTCTGTCATTTGTTTAGTTTACTAAATCACCACCAACTACGGTAAACACAGTAATAATATATCATGAAGTGTTCCTTTTCACTGAGCTGTGTTTGACCCCACCTGTGACAAAGAAAGCTTTGTATTTTTCTGCTCGAACTGTTTGCAGGTCTCCAAACTTCCCTGCAGCCCCGCTGTTAGGGTGGAAGAGAAACTGCAGCACAAGCTCATTTTAGACGGATGGAAGTGTTTTACACAACGTAACAAAACAGAAGCAGTTTGTACCTCGTGACCGGTGTGTTCTCTCTGCAGGAGAATACGTGTAGCGTCGATGCCATCGTAGCGTCTGTCTGAGGGCGGGGTTATTCCTGCCAGGCTCAGAACAGTAGGGAAGATGTCCATTCCACTGTGGTCAGAGGAAAGGGGCAAGAAAAGGGAGATGTATGTGTACTTTCACTCACTGAAGCAGTTTTTTCTCCAAGGTATTATATCATTTATAGAAAAAACCCATTAAATTCATTAGATTACAAGGATAAGTTGGAAGAGAATGATCAGATTTCCCTCCTAAATGTTTTAACCTCCAACAGAAACACAATGACACATGCATGGAACGGCCTAGGTGAAGGTTCAGCTTCCCGCTCTCACCTGAGGGACAAGGGACATTCGTTTTGGATTGAAGATGGCATCTGTGTCACGCTCAGGTGTCAACATTCCAGAACCTGCTCATACATTCTCTTTAGGACACGTGTCCCTCAGTGGCTTAGCGCTGGGTTTATGAGATCCTAACTACTTACCAGAGGTGTAACCAAGTCACTGCTTTGCAAATCACAAGTAAATCACAAGTTTTTCCAGTCAAGTCGCAAGTCAAGTCCAAGTCAAAGGCAACCAAATCCAAGTCGAGTCCAAAGTCAATGATGTGGAAGTCCAAGTCAAGTCCATGTCCTTAACTTTGAATTTTCAAGTCATAATCAAGTCAGCTGTCCAACTTCAGTTTAAAGGGACTTTACGGAGTTTTGAATTTTTATGCTCACGATTGCCCCCTCAGGCCAAACGCGTAACAGCAGCTTCAATAGGAGGCTCGTGCACGAGGCGCGCATGCTGTACGTGCACACTCCTTAACGAAAATAACAGCTGAGACAGTCAGCTCCGTGTGTGTGTGTGTGTGTGTGTGTGTGTGTGTGTGTGTGTGTGTGTGTGTGTGTGTGTGTGTGTGTGTGTGTGGCCCGGAGGACAGAGGACAGGAGAACGCACAGCTAATTAATTAAATAATTTGGTTCTGTACCTTTCTCTTCAGCATAGCCGACAAAGGTTTATAATGGGTCAGTCCTCCTGCATGCTCAGATCATTCCCTTCCCTTGCTTGAAAAATTGTTCCAAAATGAAAGTTGAACCCACATCTTTTTTATCTGTGAATTCAATGCCGTTTGGCGAGTCTCAAATAAAAATTTGGGCATCTTACTGTAAAAAAATATACCATTAATGTAAAAAATAAACTCTAATACAACCATGTTCACATCCAGAATTGAACCCGGGTTTTCTGCACGAAAGCCCGTAATCTTACAAGGCGAGCTTAAGCACCAGTGGCGTCTTCTGTATCTGTAACGTTTATATCCTTGATAACAGCTGAAACAACGTTCAAAGAACGGTTCGGAGGGCTATGCCTGAACGTGAACGCGCATGAAGCAGCCTGCTCGACCCGAGCATCTCTTTTTCTGTGATTTTACAGAAAAACAGGCAATCACAGTAAAAATGGCAGGGCTCATTCTACAGGACCATGGCATTGCAGGAGAATGTATGAAGAAGAAATTTATTATTTCTATACATGTTTTGGCTGTCAAACTTCCATAATGCCCCTTTAATGACAATGATAATAAATAAATTCCAGAAATAAAGCTTCTTAAAGCTTCATTTATTTGCTCAAACAAGCAGAAAGTGCAACTGAAACTGATTATAAACAAAGTGCTGCTGCAGTTAGCAGTAAATCAAACCCAGAACCAAGAATGAGTTTTGTCCATGTCGTGTCACTTTTGTGCTAAAATATCAAATATGCTCAAGTCATCATCAAGTCAACAGACGCAAGTCGATTCAAGTTGCAAGTCATTGGCGATCAAGTCCAAGTCAAGTCGTAAGTCTTTATAGATTTTATCAAGTCGTCAGAAGTCTTTAAAATAATGATTCGAGACTGACTCGAGTCCAAGTCATGTGTCTCAAGTCCACACCTCTGCTACTTACCTACAATGAGTCCAGCTCCACATGTATTTGTTTATATGTAACCAACCAGTTTAGGTTTAAATTGCAGTTGAAACACGACTACTGACTAGAATATGTTTCTAAAACCTTGACATCTGGACTTTTGTGACGAGTGTTCGAGGCTTAACTCCTTGTGGGTTATTGTCACAGTATAGCGTCAACTCCTGGCATTAAAACATCCAGATGGAGCATCAGGATAAGCACCTTCTTTATAAGCAGGCCTTACTATTACCTCCTGTACATGTCTGCTGCCCCCTGGTGGAGGACCTGCAGATAGTAAAGTGCATACCGGTATTTAAATATTTAAAGAATTACATAATAAAATAAAACTGATTATTAAACTGTTGTTTTATCAACATTAGACAACAGTTTTATATAAAATAATTTAAAAATCTTTACTGTATCATATTACCCCTATTAAGGGGTCAAATGTTAATAAGAGCAAAACTCGTTGCTCCTTGAGATTTTTTTCCCACTTTCCTTTTGGGACTGGTCCATCTTTTGAGTGGACAAGCCCAGATTCTGCATATAGTTGTGCAGTAAAGACACATGAGCAGGATGTAGCTAAAGTGAGCGTGCCTGAGCAGGGCTGCGCTGGTGCTGTTTGCAGGGATTCTCCCAGGCCAGTAGACCACTGTGGGTACCCTGTGACCTCCCTCCCAGGTGGTCTGCTTAGCTGAACCCCCACCTAACACACAGATCAAAAACCACTTTAAAAATATGACCTTTCAATGCAACAACAATCTCCAGCCCGTGTTACAACTAAACACAAGAATCCTTGTTTTTGTTCTCATTTAAAGTGTTCTTTACCTTTATTGGTTTGCCATTTTCCTGTGAAAGGTCCAACACTTCCTGCATACTGACACTTCTGATCCCAGGGACCGTTGTCTCCTGCAGCATCAACACATGAAGACTTTATTTTATCATATTATAAAGACGTAGTTCATGCAGCTGACTACTAACCAGTAAACCAGATGAGAGTGTTGTCTCTATCGGTTTCATCAGCTGCAGTTTTTATTGCCCCAACCAGATCATCCAGCTCCTGCAGACTGGCAGCATAGACTCCATCACTACGGCGGGGAGCAGCAGTGGCTGCTAAAAGGGGAGGGGCCAGAGGGACGTGCATGTGAGCTGATGCAATGTAGAGCAGATATGGCTGTCCTCTCGCCCTGAAAATATAAAATAATCCAAGTTCAACAGCATCACAGCTATAAGTAACCACTTCCTTGTCAGAACTGTTGCATGTGAACTCATAAAAACAGAGCTAAGCATGGATGATGGAAACAGTTCTTATGGTTACGATCTTGTTCCCTGCTTAAAAGCCCAGAAACGTTTCACTTTCCATTAAAGGAATGTGGATTTTCCAGCTGGAGCAAAGTATTTGTTGCATCCTAGAATCAAATCCAACACTGTGTTGCCTGTTGACATTGTGATAGCTTCGGCACTCATTCACATGACCTTGCAAATCAGGATGAGGGTCTGTTGGTGCTCAAAAACAGCAGTTCCCTGGTCTCCTCCTGCCCTTTACAAACCAAATCTCAGAACAACTAACACAAACTCTCAAGCAGATCACACGCAGCTAATGAGGTTGCATCTTTACATTTGTCTAAAGTAATTAACGTTTTGGCGCACTTACATCTGGGCCGGCTCGGTCTAGCCCTGGCAGAGTGATTGTGTTTATATCTGTGTGTTGTCGTCGCTGAGCCAACCTTTTTTCAGCTTGGTGCTGAGCCGACCCAACACACCGGCTGAAGTTCAAGCCTACCTACGGGGGGGGGGGGGGGGGGGGGGGGGGGGGCTCTGACTGGTGGGTAGAATCAGCCAACGGCAGCTTCCCGCATGCATGACTCATTATCAAACTGGATGCGGTGTTGTAAACACCTTCTCTGACTGCAGCTCGGCGGGAGCTGGGGCTCTACGGGACGGGGAGGCTTAGCAAAAAGAAAGACATATTGCCTACAAAGTACCACAGTACAGGGTGAGACTATCACTGCTTCAGATTTCTGAAAAGTCGTACACAATTCCTGAAATGGGGAAATCTCTGGATTGCTGCTTTGAGTGAATCTGATCCATTTCAGACTGTTCATTGATTTCACAGACACACAAACAAAGGCACATCCATCTTGCTCCTTGAAATCTTTGATTAGTTAGTTGTTGGTTTTGTAATGTTCCTCATTAAGTATTGTTGTTTAGCATTACCTTGATACAGATCAATAAGCTAATCTTTGCCTTCCAGACTGGATCTTTTTTCTGTACCTTGCACTGCGTATAACCCTGAGTGCTGCAGATTTATACTGTTCTGTGAGCCTCCACAGGTCCAGCGGCTGCTCTGTGATGGTGCTGTTCTCAATCAGAGGAAGGCCCACCTTGGAATAACAACCTCTGTGCACACTCCTCCTCAGTCTGGAACCATCAAGGACAAAAGCCGTTAGTTATCTGTGTGTGTTGAATTGCTACAGGGTTTGAAGCAACATAGAAAACTGCAGGGAGACATTCTTGAGACCTGATCTAAAGAGATTAGCACGAGATACGATTTTTATACGAGAGAAACGTGTAAATCTAATCGGCTGCTTGGTGGAGGACTTGCAGAGGGAAGGTTGCTGGTTTGAATCCTAGATGTTGTCTTTCTGCATGTTCGACCCATGCATGTGTGGATTTTCTACTGTTGTTTCCTCCCAAAAACATGCATGTTTGTTTAACTGGAACCTTTAAATTGTCCCTAGGTGTGAGTGACTGGTTGTTTTCCTCTGAGCGTCCCTGTGATGGACTCATTACCTGTCCAGGGTGTCCCCCATCTTTTGCCTAGTGACTGCTGGAGTTAGACACCAGCTCCCTGTCACCCTACTGAGGAAAAATGGTTCAGAAAAAAACTGAAAATGTAAATCTAGCTAATAGGCCTGGGCGATAAATCGATTTAATTAATTAATTTTAAAAAATTTGAGGGCGATTTAAAAAAAGTTAATCGAATTTTATGTAATAGCGCCTTTTTGGCCCCCCGGAGTCTCACATAACCACAACAACGTCACAGCAGCACACAATATAGCAACAGCAAGCGACTCCATGGCCACCGGTGAGAGTGGGAGGTTTGTTCCTAAGAAAGGAATGGAATCATTCGTTGTTTGGAACTGGTTTGGGTTTGCTGCGACGGACGTGGAGCGTGGCACTTTGAAGAGGGTGATCATTTATTCATTATTCATCTCAGAAATGAGGGTTACATTTGTCTTGCTTGTGATGAAATAAAAAACTAAATAGGCTTTAGGGTGGTTCCATTTGTACTTATTGCTATTAGGGGTGTAACGGTACGCTAAAGTCGTATTTGGTTCAGTTCAGTGTTTTAAAGAGCTTGGTTTGATTTATTTTCAGTATATTATTATTATATTTATTTATTATCTGAAGCGGCTCCTATAGTGAGCAGAACCAGGTGTCATCACAGGCTGCTGATCTAGCATGTCTAATTATTTCACAGGTTATTTGCGCAGCTATGAGTGTCACTCTCATACAGACTAGAGTTGTGTTTGACTGTTGATGCTCCGTGTTTTTATTTCTGCAGCGAGCTTTAAAAACTCACCTCACACCACCCAGAGTTTCTTTTTTAGATCTCGTATTAAATAACCAGCTTCCTGCGCATCGTTTTATTCATTTTTTTGTTGTGGGATGAAAACTTTACATCAGTTGTCCCAGGGGGAAGTTCAGCAGACGTGTTTGTTTACATTTTTGCCGCTGCATGTCTGCACTGAGAAGGGAGGGAGGGGCAACGCGACGCTCCGTTCAGCGTCTACAGGCTCCAGTAGCATCGACTGCCAGCTGGTTTGATCCGCTCTGAAAGGCCTTGATCAGAATTTGCAGATCACATTTTTTTTAAACGGAGATCGGGCGCGTGCAGCCATCATGCCTCACACAATACAGCGTCTGTGCGGAAACTCGCCAAGGAGCTTTTATCTGCTGCACCTAAATCATGCAAATAAAAATTCATTATTTAAGGGAAAAAATAAGCCGAATCGGTACGCCAGTGGACCGAACCGAAACGGTTCAACACTCCCCCGTGAACCGTTACACCCCTAATTGCTATTCTTAACAGTTGAGGGTGAGAGAGAATCAGAAAAAAATCGCGAATCGAATTTAAATAAATTAAATCGGAGATTTTATTTTTAGGCTGTATCGCCCTGCCCTACTAGCCAATTACCACCAGGCTTCGCCTGAGAGCTCTATGCATATTTGAGTAGAAATGTACCTGATCACTTCAGGTCTGGATGAGACACAAGGGGGACACGGGGGCAGGTTATATCCTGGTGTGTCAGTGCAGCCCATGTCATTACTGTAGGGGACTCCTAGGTAGTGGTCGAACCCTGTTTATGAAACAAGCAAAACATCTAAATGAATAGAGATAAGAAATGTATTTGTTGTTGGTGTGACGCTGCTGCGTTTCAGTTTGAAGAGAACAAAACTTTCAAATAATTAATAGTAATCAAACACATAAGTTCCTGCTGCAGAGCAGTGACAATGTTTTTTTGTTTCTTCTCTGCTGGGGGTAATGCTAGTGGGGGTGATCACGAGTCAGCTGATGAAGGGGGGACAGCTGGAAGTGTGTTGTGCAACAAAACACAACTGGAGGGAGAGTGTGACCGGTGACCTGGTTTTATCTGGTTCCTGCAGCGATGGTTACAGTCAGGTCCTCGATGTGGTCTAAACGGTCAGGGGAGCAGGTTGCAGCATTCAAATGGAAATCTACAGACAGGGTTGTGTAACTGAAGTTCAACTTATTTTATGTAATTATACTGTATAACACACTAACGGGATTTTAAAATCATTTCCGGTTTTACCTGGATGCTTCAGAAAGGTGGTTTGTTTGTGCTGCAAGTTTTCTAAATTTTGCTAAAGGGGCAGCAAATGTAAAAAAATTAAAAAAAAATTTAAAAAAGCTGTTCTTTTTTTTTAACTAAATAATGTGTCGTTTCTTTTTCAAGATGTAGTATTCATACTTTTCCATTCTTGATGCGAGGCTGCAACTTCTATTGTGGCCAGCTAGAGACAACTAAGACCCCTGAAGGTCTGCTGTGGTACCTGGGACCAAGCAGATCCTTCAAGTCCAAATTCAAATTTGTGGACCTCAACTGTTAGCGTTGTGTTCTTTTCACAGGAAGATCACATGACTATCCAGTAGGAATTCATAAGATCTTGTGATTACGACATTGTTTGTTAAACCATTCTGGAAATTTTTAGAGCAATCATGTGTTTAGGGCTGTGCAGTAAGATGATTTTGGCTCAACATCAGTGAGATAATGGGCCATCAAGATCAAGCAGTGGCTTAAGTGACGCAGGCAGGTCGCGCTAGAAAATTTCGTTTAAAAAGACGTCATAAATGTTTTCCCTCGTCATTTTTATTTCTAAAATATGAAGTAAAAACTCACAATTTCATTTTCATTCCTTTGCCAATAATATTTAGTCTACACCCGTGCGTTAAGAGGATCGGCACCATGCATTACCTGCACTTCCAATATTTTCCTCTCAACGTAGGACTCTTTCATAAGGGTACATGCACACCAGTAGTTTTTACGGTTATTCATGGGGCAAAATCTCCAACATTTTTGAAAAAATAAAATCAAAGTAAAACTCCATCTTCCAGTAGACGCAAAGCATCCAGCCCACCTCTCCAAATGCATCAATTGTGCATCACAGCCGCTAGGCGCGCCGCGTGCACCGTCAGCTACGTCAGCCCAGTGTGCGCATCAGTGTGTGTCGGGATAATTCTTTCAAAACAGCCAGCATCCTTGAGTTTATCCGTCAAAATAAACAGTCAGACGGAAATATCTGTAACCTGCCATTTAACTGTTTTGCCTTCTTGTGAAGATTGTTGCAAAGAGAAACAATTAAACTTGATTAACCCCGGAGCCATGCGCACTGCGCTGTACTCCGTCACTGTAAATGAGGGGGAAACGATTTAATCGGATCCTTTTCTTACCTTTTCAACATGGTTTAATGTAAAGTTTCATTCAGTACAAACTTTAGTTACACCAATCTAACAAGACAGAGCCTGGATTTGTATTCTGAACAGTTTAAACATGTTTAAAACGGAGACGTGCGTGACGCGTCTAAAATTCGCACCTGCTCCACTATTATGGAAATTAAACTAACAAGATGAATAACATGAAATTATTTTACGCACAGAAGACATCCCCTACACTTTTGAAAAGCTTGCAACACGCCTGGTTGAGGACCAATCTGATTGGAGGTGATCATAATCTAGCCTAGCAAGCCATCTTATTTACAGTATGTGCATTTATAGTCTGGCCACAACCCATTGGTGGTTCTCAGTCGTGGGGCGGGATTTACAGTTATCTTTCCAACTGTCTCCTCATACTGTTGGTCAACAAACAACGTGGCATACTCTCTGCTACAGATGTCGGTCAATGGGGCAGTCTGCCATACTCTGTCAAAGACAACACAAATACACCCTTTTTCTAAATAAACGTACGTACCTCTATCTGCTCTTGATTCCAATAGTCCAAAGTTGATGCTAAAGCTGTTTCAAACAAGCCGTCACCATCTTAGTTTCGCTCAGTTGCTCCCATGAAACAGAGTGCTGTGACTGGTCCACCAAAACACTGATAAGCCACCAGACTAGTCAGGGCTGCAGAGTTTCCACTAGAGTGTGGCTAGACCCACATGCACACTGACGGTCTAGAGTTCTTGGCTGGCCATAATCCACCGGTCTTGGTAAAAAGGGAGCCTGCTGGCAAAGCTCAATGTACGGTATTGACCCGAATATTAGACTAGGTCTTTTACATTGAAAACAATTTTAAAATGAGGGGTCGTCTTATAATCGGGGTCCAGCCATTACACATCCGTAACAGCAGAGGGCGCCAGGCTGTGTGTTCTCAACAGCAGAAAAAAATAGAGACGAGAGGTCGGAAGCAGGGTGAACCAAAAGTGGGGCACGTTAACAAGCTATAAGGCAGAGTTATGCAAATTTTAAGATGACGGCAGAGGCGTCAAACATTACATGCATAGATGCCTTGGGTGGCGGTGTGGATGACGTTGTGGAAGTGTAGCGATCTGATGGTGCACCGGTGTCGGTGCAGGATCTGCTCGGGTGCAGGATCTGCTCGGGGTCCTTCGACTGCCGATGACGTCACATTACTGCAAATCTACTGGGCTTTCACACACGTTTTGGAAAGACATCACCAGTTTTGTTAATAAATTCTTGTTTGTTAACACCTAAATGTTTTCTTTATAATTGTAATTTGTTAATAAAACACTATATTACCTTGGTTTTGTAAAGAATGTGAAACTGCATAAAACCAACATCAGACTGACAAAAAATAGAACAGTTCTTGTATGTGAAGCCACATCTGTTTGTATTAATGTGGAGTTCATCTGTATATTTCCTTAGTTGTTATCTAAATACATTCTTTGACTCAAAATATTGCTTGGTGTCTTTCAATAAAGTTCTTATATTTTATTTTGCCCCATTTCATCAACATCAAGAGCTTTTGAGGGTCACTGTTTATCATTTGCTTATATTTTACATTTCCTTTAGAAATTCAAACATATTTTCTCCAAAAAGTGTTGATTTTTGGACTACAGGACTACAACCGCTAAGACTATGACTGCAAATTTGTTCTGCCCAATCAAAATCATAACGTGATAACGTAACTTTCGTAAGCTTCATGTTCAGCCAATCAACTACTCTGACGTCTTCGGCAGTCGAAGGACCCCGAGCCGATCCTGCACCCGAGCAGATCCTGTACCGACACCGGGACCGCAGCAGCGTGAGTGAGGACAGCGAGGCAAAGGGTGTCTGAATAAAAGCCTCATTTGACTTTTGATTTCACACGTCAGCAAAGTTCTGATAGTTTGCATTAAAATGTTATTTTGCTCAGTATTGGTTCTCAAGTTTTCAATAAACAGTTTATTTAAAAAGTGATTTTTTTTTTGTCTTTTCCTGAAGATTAGTCTTTTTTTTTTGGGGGGGGGGGGGGGTCAATGTTCAGGTCAATACTGTAATAAAATAATGCTAATACCAATGAATTTTGCTGATTATATTGATTTTGTGATCATTTGGAGCTAAAAAATATAGATCAGAATACCTGGACGCCCTGTAACATATAGTATTTGTCTGGGGACCATTTTCATGAAGAGGAGTTAATTTCCACCAACACTAATGACATCAGATGCAGTTTGAATAATAAAGATTAACACTGGATCTTAAGCTGTCAGGTACTACTGACTCTTTATATAATAAAGTCTTGATGTCATGTCTTCATCACACACAAGTAAACAAAGTCTAAACCAGTGTACCGAGCACCACTGGTCTAAACAATGTCTTCTAATGCTCTGTGGTTCCTTCCCTTCAGATGTTTCCAAGTCCATTTGAGATGCTTTGGAGAAGGACATGTTTAGTTTTCAGTTCTACGCATACCGCCACAACTACAAAACAATAGCAGTCAGGGAATCGAACCCCCACCTACCCCTGTTGGTGGGACCGTATGGTCCATTGTGTCCGAGATGCCACTTCCCAATAATGGCGGTGTAATAACCTGCCTGCTGCAGCAGCTGAGGCAAAGTGATCTCAGAAAGAGGCAGACCAGCTACAGAATTCACTCCAAAGTTATGAGTCACCCCGGTTCTTAGGCCATACCGGCCCGTCAGGATGGCGGCACGGGACGGAGAGCACGTCGAGGCAGGGGAATGGAAGTCCGTCAGTCTGGAGAAAGAACACAATTTATACAAAAATCACAAGTTCACACGGTAAATCTAACTTCCGCCATGCTGTCTCATTTCTAAGTGACTTTGTTCTTTACTTTGATAACGATAATATAGCTGGTACCTTAGCCCTTGCTGGGCCATCAGGTTAAGGTTTGGTGTGTTGTTTGTCTTCTTCTCAGGTTGGTTAACATCCAGGTCACCCCATCCCATGTCATCAGCTAGTATGATGATGAAGTTGGGTTTTGTCCTGACTGTCTCCACGGGTTCTGTTCGGGTCACTGTGAAGAGCAAAGCCCCAAGCAGGAAGTTCTCCATCACTGTGAGTCAGATCTGTATGGAGTGAAACCATAGTAACCAGTTCTGGACACATATTCAGTTTGGCAATTGTTAAGACCATTTACATCTAGTCTATAAAGGTCAAATTCAAAGTTTTTCTATTTTGCATGTTTCTTTATTAACTATGTTTGCATTTATTTATTTTATTCTGAAACTAAACTGCTGAAAACAAAGTGAGACATGACTACTACATGTGGAAAGTGATGTAACAAAGGTTAAAATGAAAGGTGCAGGACTAGATCAGCATGTTGCAAAGGTTGGAACATCCTTCATAAATGATTAGCTGTCAAAGAAGCTGATGTTGCAAGAAAATTCCAAGAAAAAAACTCAAGAAATTCCAAGGTTGTTGCTATTTTTTTACACAAAAACACTTAAAGAGACAATGTGTCGTTTTCTCTAAAAATTTCCATCAAAATGCATTAAATGATGTCCAGTTGCTGAACAATATTGGTAACATATAACCATAGGAATCGTGTCTAAAATACATGGCAGCGGGTCTAAGTTTGTAGGCGACACCATATCAGACATCATGTTTCCTTCTTCGGGAGCCAGTGATGACAAAATGCATTTACTGATTTGTAACAAGCGGTTACAAAACTCTTGCCATTCATAAACGTTTTACACATTTACCTCTTTTCTCATTGCCTCATGCAAGGGAGTCTGATGTGTTTGTCATTTTGCTGGAGGTTGCACTCCCAGGGATTTTTTAACCCTAATGGCCATCGGTTGGTAAGGTCTTACTCCAACACAAAAATACCACTTGCGTGCAATGATTTAGGTATGCACTGCCCCCATCGCATTGTCACTTTAACAATAAAATAGATGAAATTCAGCAAATGAGCAAGTTACTTTAATGAGAAAAGCACTTTGCTTTTAAACTTCCAAAACAATTTACATTAAAGCAAATGTTTAAACAACTCTAAGAAATCCTGTTGATTCTGCAGCTAGACGCAAAACAGACAGGAAACGGGAAAATAACAATCATTAGGGAGAACAAGGGTGATTTTTGTATATTTGTAAAATAGTTTCCAGTGAAAGTCATCTTGTCAGTGACAACTAACCAGGAAAGAGATGTGTAGGCTTCCTTAAGATATATAATAAATCTACTTATGAACTCAGTTAAATGATTTTTATTTATAACTGTTCGTCCTCTCGTTTCCCGTGTGACACTAATTAAATCAATCATGTGGAAGCCCAAGTCGTGGGTGTCTGTCTTTCTTATCGCACCAGCATTTCCTGATAAACTTGTATTTCTTCACACAACAAGAAAACCAGAAAACATCGTCCAACCAAATGTGTTTATCCTGGGTCAAGTCAAAAGAAACTCGTCAAATTTTTGAGGTAAGTTCAGCATTTGTATTTGACTACTGAACTATTTTTGAATAGGTCACGTTTCTATTTTACAAACAAATTCAGTGAGGAGTTGGTTAAATCAAAATAGTTGTTCTTGGGTGCTAGTTTTGAACTCAGTTTCTGTAAAAATGCTTTAAACAATAAATATGTTACCTATTGTAGAGACCTCTTAATTATCCTCAGTTTGGAGAAATTAGGAGACTTCTGACCAGTCCAATGAGTCAGAGTAGAGCCATGTAAAAAGTAGATTTATGTGAAGCCTTTCTTTGTGTTTGCACTATTTTAAACTCTGACATTGATCTCTGTTTCACACGATTATTCTGGGAGGATTATGAAACTCGAACTAGAATCTTTGCTGCAAATAGATTTTTGAGAAAGTAACCATGACTGGCACTTCAATCCCAATGTTAAAGGTGTTGAACATTAGTGATGGGATCTATGGCTCTTCCATGGGAGCCGTTCATTAGTCGGTTGTTTACCTGAAAGAGCTGTTCAAAAGACTGGCTCCTTTGAACAAAGTGAAGCCAAGAGAGCGCGCGGGGTGGGTAAGAGCAACGTGTTCCTGTCCGTGAGAGCGCATTGGTTAGGGTTCTTCCTACGTCCGTCACAGCGGTGGGTGGGGTTTGAGCGAGTGCGCTTTACCGACTTCTGGGGAAGTTTGTTACCAGAAGACAAGATGAACAGCGCTCTACAGAGACTCGGCTCTTATCATTCACTTTGAAAATCCATTCAAAAGATTTGATTCGTTCGTGAATGTCACATCACTATTGAACACTCATTTAATCAATATATTTGCAGTGGTCTCTAGTAGGAATGAATGCCTTGTAAGTTGTACTCTGGGGAAACAAAGCTCCGGTGCATCAGTTTCAGGAAGTAGAAGTGAACCACATCAGAGTTGAGCTTCAGATGGCAGGATTTGGAGTCTTATTTCCTGGGATGTTTCTCAATACCAAGGAACCTTACTTTAATGTCTTGGTCCCGCCCCGGTTGCCCAGGAGATACGTCATCAGGAACCGCCAAGGGGTGTTCCAATGTTCGTGTTCTACCGAGGCGTCTGTTCGTTAGCCGTTTAGCTAGCTGAACTAGCACACTGGGCTGACTAGCTAGCTAGCTCAGAAGCTGGTAGCTACTTTGGGGGAAAATTTCAAGTTTAAAGTAAATCAACTAAATGTAGCTATCGGGCTGATATCTGAAATGTTTTTTTATATCCAAAGCAGTTATCTGTGGTTGGTTATTTGCTTAGTAGTTGCAGCTTTGGTGACTAGCAGGTAGTAACTCGCTTACATTTTTCATTTAACAAATATATACACAACGTTAAAAGGCTCATTATATATTTATATTGAAACTTGTACATATAAAATATATTGTTATCTCAAGTAACATTATGAGGCCGCCACAGAAGCCGCGGTAACGTGATGAAAGTCTGTTCCATTTAACCGTTTTCTTTGACCAAGGGAGGACAGTGTCCTCGTAAGCAAGGCGCCTGGCCTCGCAAGACATCACCTTGTGAGGCCAGGCACCTTGACATAGCGAGCCTAAGTTACTTCCGTACCACGAGTGCCCGGAAGAACGAAAAAACGAATGCAAGTCAATGGGGCTAAAAATGCTATTTTCTAACTCCGCTTGTTTTGTGCCATTGGTTTCACATATGATGTCTGTGAATTTTAAAGACACATTTTGATACCAAGAACGTGCTTATTTTCGAACGGGGCAAACGCTATTTTAGGTTTTGTGTAAAAATAAGTCCAGGACTACAAATGTGCTTCACAAAAGTGACGTTATCGAACCAGACACGGAGAAAACTGAGGGAAAAGGGTTGTAAGTTCAGCAGACTTCCCACAGGAGGAGAGAACCACCATATATCTGATCATTTGGTAATTAGCAGCTACGCTAGGAGAGATTATGTGGGGACGTCATGTATGCTACGTGCCAATTTATAGTTTATAGTCATGCCAATTACGAACTTTTACAAGCAAATAAATCTCAAAGTACATGGCATGGTCGAAACACCCATCATTACTTTTCATTTAAATTGCAGTACAACAAATGTGCGATCCAGGGCGTAAGGCAAAGCGGATTAGAAAATAGAGTTTTTAGTCCCTTTGACCTGCAATAATTTTTTTTTGTTCTTCCGGCGACCCATGATGCGGAAGTGACTTAGGCTTCCTATTAAGAAACAGCCTCGATACTTGGACATCTCTCCTCTGATTGGCTAATATCAATGCGACTCTACCACTAAAGCTGATTTATACTTCTCCACAAGGGAGAGGCGCACATCTGGCGCGTTGCAAGCTTTTCAAAAGTGTGGAGGATGTTGTCTGTGCCTAAATTGATTTCATGCTATTCATCTTCTTAGTTTAATTTCCATAATAGTTGAGCAGGTGCAAATTTTAGACACGTCACGCATGTCTCCGTTTTAAACATGTTTAAAGGGACATTATGGAAGTTTGACAGCCAAAATATGTATAGAAATAATAAAATTCTTCTTAACACATTCTCCTGCAATGCCCTGGTCCTGTAAAATGAGCCCTGGCATTTTTACTGTGATTGCCTGTTTTTCTGTAAAATCACAGAAAAAAAGAGCTGCTCGGGTCGAGCAGGCTGCTTCATGGGCGTTCGTGTTCAGGCACAGCCCTCCGAACCGTTCTTAAATGGTACAGATACTAGTGACATCACTTATGTGTTAGCTCGCCTAGTAAAACAGTGGACTTTTGTGCAGAAGACCCGGGTTTGATTTTGGATGTGAAAATAGTTAATTTAGAGTTTCTTTTTTACATTAATGGTATATTTTTTTCACAGTAAGATGCCCAAATTTTTATTTGAGACTCGCCAAATGGCATTGAATTCACATATAAAAAAGATGTGGGCTCAACTTTCATTTTGGAATACTTTTTCAAGAGCATGCAGGAGGACTGACCCATCTTAAACCTTTGTCGGCGGTGCTGAAGAGAAAGGTACAGAACCAAATTATTTAATTAATTAACTGTGCGTTCTCCTGTCCTCTGTCCTCCGGGCCACACACACACACACACGGAGCTGACGGTCTCAGCTGTTATTTTCGTTAAGGAGTGTGCACGTACAGCATGCGCGCCTCGTGCACGAGCCTACTATTGAAGCTGCCGTTACACTTTTGGCCTGAGGGGGCAATCGCGAGCATAAAAATTCAAAACTCCGTAAAGTCCCTTTAAACTGTTCAGAATACAAATCCAGGCTCTGTCTCGTTAGACTGGTGTAACTAAAGTTTGTACTGAATTAAACTTTACATTAAACCATGTTAAAAGGGTAATAAAATGATCTAATTAAATTGTTTCCCCCTCATTTACAGTGACGGAGTACAGCACAGTGCGCATGGCTCTGGGGTTAATCAAGTGTAATTGTTTCTCTTTGCAACAATCTTCACAAGAAGGCAAAACAGTTAAATGGCAGGTTACAGATATTTCCATTTGACTGTTTATTTTGACAGATAAACTCAAGGATGTTGGCTGTTTTGAAAGAATTACCCCGACGCACACAGAGGAGCTGACATTTTAATCGTTACGCACATCGTGGAGGTGACTAAATCAATCAAGAAATGATTCCCATCGGAACATCAGAGCTTTATACTGGACATGTGCTCAATGCAGCTCGCAGCGCACCGTGAGCTGAAGATCTGTAGAGGTGTTCGCAGCGCAGAGCAGAACCACGGCGATGCGGTAAGATTTCCTCCCACTGAAGCAGTCTGGAAACCTGGTCTTTCTGAGGGATGTGTCACTTGGAAAAATCTTCGCCGATTCTGAAACTTTGGCTGAACAGCGCTTGTTCTCGTCTCTATTATGGAGATGCATGACGCATCCAGTCTGAGGCAGAATAGCCTCTTCAGCTCAGAAAGCACCTCTAGAGACATTTGATCACGCACAAAGTTTATGTGGAGCAGAAGCGGTCGGGCCACGGCAGGTGAAAAGTTCCTAGCCTACATGAAGTGAAATTGTTTAATTGTAACATTAATATGTTACTGGACACACTGGTCTGGTTGGTTAGACCAGTGTTTGAAGTGGAAAACACACACACACACACACACACAAATTAAAATAATGCTGATAGCGTGGACTAGAAGCCAGGTGATGGTTTACGTATTTAAATGATGATCAGGCTGCTGTAAAATGTAATCTCCATCCACATCCGGACAGAATTATCCTCTATTCTTTCTCTATTTTCTCTACTCTTGTCTGGGCTGACGTAGCTGACAGTGCGTGCGGCGCGCCTAGCAGCTGTGATGCACATTTTACGCATTTGGAGAGGTGGGCTGGATACTTTGCTTTAATCCTTGGAGATTTTGCCCCATGAATAACCGTAAAAACTACTGGTGTGCATGTACCCTTATGAAAGAGTCCTACGTTAATAGGTAAATATTAGAAGTGCAGTTAATGCATTCTGGTGCTGGTCCACTTAACGTACTGGTGTAGACTAAATATTATAGACAAATGAATGAAAATTATATTGTGAGTTTTTACTTTATATTTTAGAAATAAAAAATGACGAGGGAAAACATTTATGACGTCTTTTTAAACGAAATTTTCTAGCGTGACCTGCCTGCTTCACTTAAGTCACTGCTTATTAAGGCTTGTCCAGAATTACCGTGGCCCACCCAAAAATTAAAACCTGGCGCCGCGCCTGTTACAAACCTCTGCAAATTGTTGTTCTTCACTTTATCAAACTCAGACATTGTACAGCTAATGTCAGCATGTAAAATTATGAATTCAGTCGAGCTCTTCCTTCCCTCCTTCTCCTGCTCTCCTTGAAACCCGACATCAGCTGTCAGAAGAGGGAGGGGAAGAAGGAGATGAGGCCAACAGAGCGCGATAAAGAAACCAGAATGGTGTGGAGGTGAGCAAAACGTGTGGAAAACTGTGGGTGTTGAAACCCCCACATCCCCCACGAGTGCGACGCATCGACATTAATACATGGACAATGGGTTTCCATAGACTCCAATAACAAGTTTTTGTGCTAAAATGGGAGGTGGCCACCACCGCCATTTTGACCATGTCACAGGTTCCGTCAAGCCCAGACAATTCCATAAAAGGGAAGAGAGGTGGAGCTGAGGGTGGGGTTGTAAGGCTGGGATCAACTGACGACACCCGGTCGAACTAGCTACAAGCTAATCTGAAGCTAACCCAAAGCTAGTGCGGAGGTGGGAGCTAAGCTAACGGAGGTAGCAACCTAGCTACAACCGGAGTTAACTGTGCACAACACCAGAGCTTCTGAGTCAGAGATACGCCGGGCTGACCGCTGGGTAAAACCGGGTGGAACACAGAGGTCTCGGAGACCTCCACAAGCCGGCAGCTGCACAGCAGACAAGCGCTGCTGCGCAGAGCTGCCACTGGGGAAAACCGGGTGGAAAGGTTTCCATCCCAGAGCTCCACAAGCCGTCAGCCCGCCGCAGCACACAGAAGCCGCGATCAGACAGATGCGCCGAGCTGCTGGGAGAACCAGCTGTCAGCCCGCCGCAGCCAACAGAAGTCACGATCAGACAGAGATGGACCGGGCTGCGGGGAGAAACAGCCGGCAATCAGGGTGGAAAACGTCGGTCTGCCGAGAGCTCCACAAGCCGATAGTCGGAACCCAGCTCCACCAACATGTTATATTTCAAGCCATTTTCAAAAGTGCAGCATTATGTTAAATGCACTGGGTTTTACCCTATTACATTTAAATTTCATGGTTAAACAGTTAAAATCTAAGCTCAGCAGTGACCTCAAATACATAAATATAATTTTACTTACCGAAAAAAATTAAGTGGAGACTCCTTGGACGCTCTATTAGTGCAATTAATGCCACAGCAAGTCATTTTGTCCAACAATTGCACAAAAATATCCAAAAAAAGAATACACAAACACAGAGACTCTAAATCCCGGAACAGTTTCCAAGCCAGACCGAGGCTCTACTGAGGCCTTTCCACAGAACTAGCTCTGTGGTCACGTGGGTCTGATGCTCATTAATTATACAGAATTTTAGGCTGATAATGCACTTAATCAGAAGAGTGAGAAAAAAATTCTCCCCCTCAGAGTTGTCATGAGTGTAAACTAGATCATTTAAACAAAAAACATGTTTTGGTACCAGGCTGTAAACATGTTTATTTCTGCTGTGAACTTGGCATTTTTAACATGGGAGTCAATGAGGATTTGCGCACTTCTGATACCAGCCCCCAGCGGATGAGGGTGGAACTGCATTTTTTGGTACTTCCGGGTTGGGACCAATTTTAGAGCTGCATTGTGGGGGCTTGGTGCGACGCCCATGGCGCACACGCATTGACAGAGGTGTTTTTCCTTCAGACTTCTCTGTCACCTGGGGAGTGTTGCAAAGATATTTACTTCACTGTGACAGCAAACTCCACAATTTGATCTAAACTAATCTCTGTTTCTCTGAATTAAGGTTGTTCAAGGAGTCATTTATCAACAGATATGCTGTCCATATAGTATATAATCCTACTTCAAATAATAAGAAATATTCTTTTTATTGTACCAGTTGAGCGTTTTTTCATCTTTGAGATGAATAAAAAGTTTTAAAAAACGTGATGAATGTTAAAATGAATGTCTGGTAAACTGTAATGACACGCATGTTAAACAGATACGGGTCTGTAAGTATTATTCCAAGTGTAAAACGCCTTTTAGCTTTTTGAGAGGCAAAAATATTATTATTTATTCAAATGCAGCCTCCTGAGGAAGTTGTTTGTCAAAGGATACTACGGGTTTGGAACTGGTTGCAACCAGATCTCTGCCGCCTGTTCATAACCATGTGTGCTCGTGCCACACACTGAAAATCTGTACTCGACCTCCACGTGTGTGTGTGCGCGCGCGCATCCAAGTCAAAGCGTCCTAGCGGTCAACACCAGTGTTCAGTGACCGCGCATTGATGCGCGCGGCACTTCTTGGAGGGATTAACGGCAGCGAGGACTGAAGAGGGGATTACTTCCGTCCGAAATTAGCTACACTCAGGTAAGAAGACAATCTTAAAACGAGTCATTTACAAAACGAGTAGTCTGTGGGAGAAGTAATAGGGCTGCTTTTTAAAAGTTCAGCTACTCACAGTGTTGAGTTCAGAGAACAGCGCGAGACGCAGCTGGTTGTGATGTGACATTTACGAACCAATCGAATCTTTTGAACGGGTTTTCAAAGTGAACGATGAGAGCCGAGTCCCTGCAGAGAGCCGTTCATCTTAACAAACCTCCCCGGAAGTTGGTCAAACTCACCCGCTCAAATCCCACCCCCTGCTGTGACACGTAGGAGGAACCATAGATATGTATATAAGCACGTGTTTATATACATATCTATGGGAGGAACGCTAACCAACCCCGTGCGCCCTTACCGACTTGATCCCCCCCCCCCCCCCCCCCCATCGTTCAAAGGAGTCAGTCTTTTGAACGGCTCTTTAAGTTAAACGACCGACTAATGAACGGCTCCCATGAAAGAGCCATAAATCCCATCACTAGAAGCTGGGTTCATCCGCATCACGTAAACGCTTCCCATTTTTATTTTAGAATAATAAATTCACAGCTGTTCACAATCACCTGGCTGTTTGGAAAAGAACAAGCCAACATATTACTGTGGGCAAAAGGCGGAAGTGTGTTTGTGCAGGTAGTGATTTTATTTTAATTTACAGACTATATATATATATATATATATATATATATATATATATATATATATATTTATATATAGTTTTTTTACTTTGATTATAATATCACAAATATATTAGGTCTGACAATCTTACAAGCAAACCTTGAACGTGCCTGGATTGGATTTGCAAATGCATAAGAACACTTGACAAGGGAAATTATATATTTTTTCATAAGATATAATATATTCATATTAATTTTCTTGCTGGAAATTTTTACTTGTTTTGGAGGAAAAAATAAACAGAAACATTGAAAAAACAGCATGGTACTGATTCAGTGTTTTATAATTCAAAATATAAATGGCCTTTATTTGATATAGTGCCTTCTAGAGTCCTGAACTCCTGTGCCACTGTTGCCCCATACTAGCTGTATTTTCCCATATATATGTCACCCATCTCTTTCTTCACTAGTGCATTAGTGACACTAATTAGCTAAATTAGTGGTGCTTTATTGTTAGATTTAATCCATTCTTTAATCAAAAGAAAATCTGATTTATAAGGTTAGATGTTCTAAAAGGCGGGTTTCCTCTGTTGTATGCTTTGAAAGCTGATTCTTGTTTAGTAATAGAACACAACCCAGGGAGAGAACATACAATGGGAGCTACAGTACTCCAATAAAAGAAGAAAAACAAGGTGCAGATTATGAAATGTGTTGGAAGGCAGAGCTTCCTGGAAATGTCCTTAGAGCTCCTTTTTATAATTTTCTATAAAAGAATATTCATTCTGAACATATTATATATTCTGACATATAACCAAACAGAAAAAGACTAATTGTCTCACCTGCCCATAGGAACCAGGTGATCTGAGATATTTTCTTCTTTAAATAGAAGAGTGTGAAAACAGGTAAACACAAATCATTATGGTTTCACTGACTGAAAACTTAGAAATGTCTGACCTAGCAAAACATTTTTCATTTTGATGTGATGTAAATATGTTATAGCCCTGCTACCAAATCCACATAACGCTCAACAATGTCTGACTTTACCCAAATCTCCCCCGAGTGTATTAATAATTAATTAGGTCTGACTTTGCTGCTTTTTCTCCAGCTTTAGTTAAACAGCAAGCAGCCAAAGACAGCGTAGGGTCTCCAACCCTGGAGTGATAATATTTGACAGCTGATTCGTTATCTTTGACCTGATGGTGATGAGAAGAGGAGCAGCTCTTCCATTGGGGTGAAACTTGAGCGTGTTGTGTCCAAATCCGACCCCTCTGCAGAATCGAATCCTTTATCAGATCCTGACAGAGGTTTGGGCTCCAGCTCCAACTCAGAGTACACAGCATAGAGTTGTTTGACCCAGGTTTAGTATTGATCACCTTTCTGTTTGACTTTACTCACATCTTCGTTAATGTTGTTCCTTCTGCAGGTCATGGATCTGTGTGGAGCTAAGGTGACGCAGGTCCTGGGGCCCTGTGCGTACTCAGAGGCTCCTGATGGAGGCTGGGGCTGGGTGGTCGCTGCAGCCTTTTTCATCGTGGAGGTCTTCACTTATGGCTTCATCAAGAGCTTCGGCATTTTCCTAGAGGATGTGATGGATGAGTTTGAGGAGAGCAACAGTCGAGTCTCCTGGGTTGTCTCCATCTGTGTGTTTGTCATGACCTTCAACGGTGAGAACATTGGTAGCAAAAAGCTGCTTTAAACCTCCGATTTAATAATCTACAAGGAAGAGTGTTTGGTCTGCAGGTCCTCTCTCCTCGGTGATGACCAACCGTTTTGGCTTCCAGATTGTTGTGATGATTGGAGGATTGCTTATTTCCACTGGAACGATTGCCACCAGCTTTACAAGCTCTGTCAATCAAATGTACATCACCTATGGATTAGTAGCAGGTATTCCATCTTTAACCCCATTAAACTTCAAATTTAGCCTTAAAGACAAAGTTCACTAAGAAATTGTTTCGTATTTGTTATTTTTGAAACACGGTCAGTCGCTCGCTCTGAGTTTCACAGTCAGGCTGAATCTTTAGTGTGTTCAAATGGGAAACAAGCTTCAACACAAACGGTTGTTTTCCACTTGGTCCTAGAGCTCAACCAGTGTCTATTTAAAATGGCGTAATATTGTTTTGGGATGGTAAAAAGTGCAGGGGTCAAAACTTGACTTTGGAAAAAGTGGGGGGGTGGGGGGTGGGGTCCCCCCCCCCCCCCAATTACGTCCATGCCACTAGTAGAAGCTAACCGTTAGCATTAGAAACTCCACCACACAGCAGAACTCCTTTAGGCTTGTGTTTTTTGAGGAGATAAAACGTCAACATTGCAAACTGAGTCATTGGTAGTCACATTGCTGTTAGCCAATCAGATGACAGATGTGAGACTATCTTTAAAAAGGCTCTAAAACCTGCCGTCTGCTGCTCACCTCTGCTCTGCTTCACTTCTAGCTCCTGAAACAGGAGTGCCAGAGCTTCTTTCCCCACAGAGATGGACTCACAAGGCATTCATTTGTACTAGAGACCACTCAAATGTATTTGGAAAAAAAACGCGGTGAACTTGGTCTTTAATGTGATGGATAGATTGCAGTGTCATGTGTGTATCTTTAAACTGTAGGCCTTGGCTACTGTCTGACCTTCCTGCCCACCGTGACCATCCTCTCTAAGTACTTCACCAGGAGGCGGTCTCTGGTCACAGCTGTGGCTTCAACTGGGGAGTCCTTTGCCATGTTCGCCTTGGCCCCAGGTAAGAGTTTGACTTTCTTCATCAGATAGACATCCAATAATAATCTATTTTAGTCACACTTATCACGTCTCTTTGTCATTTAGCATTTTCTGCACTAAGAGATCTCATTGGCTGGCGGCACACCATGGCAGTGATTGGAGCGTTGCAAAGCATCGTCATCATCTGCGGTGCTCTTCTTCGACCTATCATCATTAAACCCAACGCGAGCCAAGACACAGAAACTGACACTTTGTCCTCCAAAATGCTAAAAGCACTGGGGCCACAGGAGGATGCAGAACATGTAATGTTGGAGAACTCCGTGACAAGAAATAAGGAGCTAACAGCAGCGTCAGGAGTCCAGTCAGATAAGGACAGCAGCACCACAGGGGGGCACACTTCTCCACACAAAGACCCAACAGAATCCAGGTGTTTGGAAAGAAGCCAGGTTCATGTTAAAGAATTAGAGAAAACAGGCAGAGATGCCGAGGAGCAGTTAGAGAAAGATGGTGACCAAAAGCTATCTGTAAAGAATCCTCTGCTAGACTTCTCCATCCTTCGAGAGTGCAGCTTCATATTCTACTCTCTGTTCGGACTGTTTGCCACTCTGGGCTTCTTTGCCCCTCAACTCTACATCATCAGGCTGAGCATGAGTCGTGGCGTGAAGCGGGAACAAGCCACCTACATGCTGCCCACCATGGCCGTGGCTGAGATCTTGGGCCGATTCTCCATCGGATGGGTGCTGACAAGGAAGCCGTTCAGGAGGAGGAAGCTCCTGGTTCTTCTGGCGTGTGTCGTCATCATGACGATGGATCTGGTAGGATTTACTCTTGTGGCAGAGTTCTGGGGCCTGGTTGTGTGCTGTGGAGTGTACGGGTTCTTCATGGGAACGCTAGCGTGCACCCACATCCCCATGCTGGCTGAGGACGATGTGGTGGGCATAGAGAGGATGTCCTCAGCTGCTGGGGTCTATGTCTTCATCCAGAGTTTTGCTGGACTGGCTGGACCACCACTCGGGGGTAAGACAGAACTTAATGTCAATACAAATGGAAATATATTCAACATACATCAGCTTTAATCCTCTGGCTCTTTAGAGGTGGTTAATGTACTTTTACAATTACAACATAGAAGGTTGCATCAGCGATGGATGTTGTTACAACCTAAATGATCACCTCATAATAAAGGTAAATATATCTAAATTGTGGGCTGCAGTGGTGCAGTGGTTAGCGCTGTTGCCTTGCAGCAAGAAGGTCCTGGGTTCAAATCCCATGCCTTTCTGCATGGAGTTTGCATATTCTCACTGTGCACGCATGGGTTCTCTCCAGATACTCCAGCTTTCTCCAACAGTCCAAAAACATGATTGTTAGGTTGATTGGTTTCTCTAAAACTTGGGCTGCATGGTGACGCAGTGGTTAGCACGGTTGCCTCGCAGCACGAAGGTTGCAGGTTTGAAACTCTGCTCGGCTGCGGCCTTTCTGCGTGGAGTTGCGTGTTCTCCCCATGCATGCGTGGGTTTCCTCCGGGTACTCCGGTTTCCCCCACAGATCACAACTTGCCCTATAGGTTATAAATTGTAAGTCGCTTTGGATAAAAGCGTCTGCTAAATTAATAAACATAAAACTGTAAATGGTAAATGGCCTGTTTTTGATTTAGTGCCTTCTAGAGTCCTGAAACCCCCAAGGTGCAATACAACACAGTCAGTCATTCACTCATTCACACACACATTCACACCCTGGTGGTGATGAGCTACGATGTAGCCACAGCTGCCCTGGGGCGCACTGACAGGTGAGGCTGCCAAGCACAGGCGCCACCGGTCCCTCTGACCACCACCAGCAGGCAAGGTGGTTTAAGTGTCTTACCCAAGGACACAACGACAGCAACAGACTGAGTTTGTGTGTTTGGTTGTTTGTCCTGTGTGTCTCTGTGCTACCCTGCGATGGACTGGCAACCTGTCCAGAGGGTACCCCACCTGCATGCCCAGAGGCCGCTGGAGATAGGCACCAGCCTTCGCGACCTTGCGTGGACAAGCGGGTATAGAAAATGGATGGATATTTAAGTTGCACCACAAAGGAATTTGATATACAAACAATCTTGATCTGTGTGAAAACACAACTTAAAGGTATAGCAGTCCGGGGGTGATAATCTGAACCATTAGTCTGCATGACTGTCAATCATTCTAATAAACCATTCACGCAAGGCTGTCACCATACATGCTCATTGCTGGGTAGTTTTCACTTCCTGTGCAAAGCAAAGGTTGGGCTCCCCACAGACGCCTCTGTCGTTGGTTTTCTGCACCACCCATCCATCCATCCATCCATTTTCATCCGCTTATCCGGTGTCGGGTCACGGGGGCAGTAGCCTAAGGCAAGAGGCCCAGACTTCCCTCTCCCCAGCCACTTGGGTCAGCTCCTCCGGGGGAATCCCAAGGCGTTCCCTGGCCAGGTGAGAGACATAGTTCCTCCACCGTGTCCTGGGTCTACCTTTAGGTCTCCTCCTGGTTGGACGTGCCCGGAAAACCTCACCAGGGAGGCATCCTGACCAGATGCCCGAGCCACCTCAACTGGCTCCGCTCAATGTGGAGGAGCAGCGGGTCTACTCCGAGCCCCTCCCGAATGACCGAGCTTCTCACCCTATCTCTAAGGGAGAGCCCAGCCACTCTTTGGAGAAAACACATTTCGGCTCTTGTATCCGCGATCTCATTCTTTCTTTCACTACCCAAAGATCACAACCATAGGTGAGGGTAGGAACATAGATTGACTGGTAAATCGAGAGCTTCGCCTTCTGACTCAGCTCTCTCTTCACCATGACAGACCGGTACAACGCCCTCATCACTGCAGATGCAGCAGCAATCTGCCTATCGATCTCATACCTGATTACTACCAGACCCGAATACTTCTATACCGAATTGCTACCAGACCTGATTACTCCCAGACCTGATTACTATACCATACCTGATTACTCCCAGACCTGATTACTATACCATACCTGATTACAACCGACCTGATTACTATACCATACCTGATTACTTTACCATACCTGATTACTATACCATACCTGATTACTTTACCATACCTGGTTACTATACCATACCTGATTACTACCAGACCTGATTACTTTACCATACCTGATTACTATACCATACCTGATTACTACCAGACCTGATTACTATACCATACCTGATATCAGTTTGGAGTAAGATGGCGCTTGCGCACGGTCACGCTGCGAGCTGCTCGTCCTCTTTACGCACTGATACCTTGCTTTTTATTGGATTTTATTGGCGTTTTATTGGCTTTTATGCACTTTTCTTGTCGCTGATCCCTTTTTTGAATGGCGTGGATCCTCTGCTGACATATGATCGAGCTGTGCTGCTGAGGCTTCGTCCTTCCGTTGATGTCGCCGGCAGCGCGCGCTGGGAACCGGGCTGTGTGAGCCATGAACCTCACGGACGATGCTGCTGGTTGAACTGCCCGCGTGCTCTCTCCACCCAAGCCGTGATGTGTCGGCCCTCTGTCCGCCCCAGCTCGAGAAGGAAGCATCGGAGAAGACGAGGAAAGAGAGGTAGCCGGCGCGTGAGACGTCGGCCTGGATCCCTGAACAAGCGGCTGGCCCGATCCGGCCCAGCTTCTGACCCGATGGTTCCGAGATGTCTCCTGGATTACTCGGCGCCCTGCTCAGGGAACTCGGCCGGCTCTGAGGGTGAACCGGCACCGCGCCACGGCCGATCGGCTCGAAGATCTCGCCAGACTGGGGTTTGCTGGGAGAATCTGCGCTCGGTTACGGGCACAGAGTTAGAGGGGACTGGGTCCGTGCGCGATCTCTGTGCTGCAGACCCGGGTTGGTCTGGTCAATGCCAGGTCTGTGCTGAACAAAACTTTTATTCTTCGTGACTTTTTTATTCAGCATAACTTGGGTTTTCTCTGCATTTGTGAGTCCTGGATCCCGTTTGGTGACACAAGTTCCCTACTCGAGCTGATACCACCTGGCTGCTCGTGTTTTAATACCCCCAGACCACGGGGCAGAGGTGGAGGGCTGGTTGTTGTTTTTAAATCCAGCTTTCCTTGTAAACAGCCTACACCCACCATGTCATTTTCTTCCCTTGAACTGTGCTTATTTGAACTGTGCATCTCCCCCCGCCTGCTTGTCGTGCTGATTTATCGCCCTCCAAAGACTGACTCTAACTTCCTTAATGATTTCTGTGATCTTGTGGCAGACTGCATCCTAAAATATGACTATGTCCTATTTTTTGGTGATTTTAACATCCATATCTGCTGTCCTGATAATGTGCTTGCTAAAGGTTTTTTTAATTTGCTAGATTCATTCAATCTAACTCAATGGGTATCATCCCCAACTCATGCCAGGGGTCACACCCTGGACCTGGTTATCTCTTATGGTCTACCCGTCACGAACCTCGTGACTTTGCCCCCTGTGTTCTCTGACCACTCTCCTATACTCTGTGATGTTACGTTGCCATGTCCTGTCCCTGTGTGTGAAGCTTCCGCTACTAGGTTCAGAGCCCTGGATGCAGAAACTATTTCAAAGTTTGTGGACTGTATGTCTGTAAGGTTAGAGACCTTTAACCCAGATCCATCTAACGTTGATCACTATTCACAACACTTTGATGTACTTTGTAATCAGGTCCTGGACGTGGTTGCCCCTCTCAAACTGTGCAAGTCTCGGCCTAGGAGGGAGCCATGGCTCTCTGATGTCACACGGGCTTGCAGGCGGGCGTGTAGATCCTCGGAGAGAAAGTGGAAAAAGGATGGCCTACAGGTCTCCCGTGAGTTGTTCAGAGCATCTCTGGTTGCTTATCAGGATGCAGTGAAGGCCGCCAGAATGGCCTATTTTGCAGACATCATTGAGACAAACTCCAATAATCCTAAGATTCTCTACAAAACGCTAAACTCTGTTCTGGTGTATCAGGAGCCTAGCTCCATGTCTCCTACAGCTGCTGGAAACTCTGAAGCTTTTCACAAATTCTTTGTTGATAAAGTGTCGGGCATTAGAGCAGTCATTTCTGGTAACTCTGTTGACCCTGTTCCAGTTCATCCACTACCACCCACCCTGAGCTCCCTCAATACAGTTTCATACTCTGAGCTGAGTAAGCTAGTTGCGAGACAGAAGCCATCAGGCTCTCCACTTGACGTTCTGCCACCTCGTCTCTGGAAGGCTGCCTTTCCGTGCCTTGGCCCTTCACTTGGTCAGATTATCAATGGGAGCCTCAGCACAGGTGTTGTCCCAGCTGCTTTGAAAGCAGCAGTTATTCGGCCGACCCTGAAGAAACCTGGTGCTGATGTCTCTGTGATCGAAAATTACAGGCCTATCTCTACCCTGCCCTTTACATCTAAACTGCTTGAGAAAGTCGTTTATCAGCAGCTGGTCTCACATTTAGCGGACTCTGATCTGTTTGAGGTTTTCCAATCAGGGTTCAGGTCTGGCCATAGCACAGAGTCTGCTCTACTGAGGGTCCTAAATGACATCTATCTATCACTAGATCAGGGTACATCTGTGCTGCTTCTGTTGTTAGACCTAACAGCAGCCTTCGACACAGTTGACCACGTGATTCTACTCGATCGCTTGGAACGATGGGTTGGGATCAAAGGGTCAGCTCTGGATTGGTTTAGATCGTATCTCCAAAACAGGACATTCTGTGTTAAACTGGGTGATGTTTTTTCTTCTTGGGAGGGGCTCCGCTGGGGGGTCCCGCAGGGGTCGATCCTTGGTCCTCTTTTGTTTGCCATTTATCTGCTACCTCTGGGGTCAATCTTTCGTAAACATGGCCTATCATTCCATCTGTATGCTGACGATTGCCAGATTTACTCTCCATTGTGTCAGGAGAAAGGTCACTCTATCCAGTCCTTTGTGTCCTGTGTTAATGAGGTGAGGTCTTGGCTAATGTCCAACTATCTACATCTGAATGAGGGAAAGACAGAGCTCATTGTTTTTCACCCCAACAGCAGGAATGTGGATCGTTATGCTGATCTTGGCCCTCTTTCTCCATACTCAAAACCAGTTGTTATCAGTTTGGGGGTGAAACTTGATGTAGGACTTAAATTTGACGCTCACATCAATTCTGTGATCCGGTCCAGTTTCTTTCACCTGAGACGCCTTGCTAAAATCAAGCCTATGCTGTCGAGAGCCCACCTGGAGCGGGTACTGCATGCCTTTGTTATTTCTCGACTTGACTACTGCAACTCTCTATATGCAGGGTTGTGTCAGTCAACACTGCATCGCCTACAGGTTGTGCAGAACAGCGCTGCCAGGTTCCTGACTGGGACCAGGAAACGGGACCACATCAGTCCGGTTCTGGCCTCTCTGCACTGGCTTCCGATTTGCTATCGCTCACAATTCAAAATCCTCGTCTTTGTTTATCATTTCTTCCAGGGTGGTGGTCCCCCCTATCTAGCCACGCTCCTGAACAGACATTCCCCATCACGCACTCTGCGCTCCTCTGACCAAGGCCTGCTCGCTGTCCCTCGGTCTAGGTGTCGTACCCGTGGGGACCGGGCTTTCTCAGTCCTAGCACCGTCACTCTGGAACCAGTTGCCACCCTCAGTTAGGCTGTCCCCTTCTCTGCCAGTCTTTAAGAATCACCTAAAAACACACCTCCTCCGCTTGGCGTTTCCAGAACATGTTTGATTTTGGCCCTCTTTTATGTTGAATCCATTCCACAGTTTTCATTGGTACACTCAATCCATCCACTCAATCCAAATGTGTTTCACACATTTGTCCTTTACCAGAATGTTTCATCTATCTTGTAATTTCCATTTTGTATTTTGTAATTTGTATTTTGTAATTTGAATTTCTTTTATTGTTGATTTATTCAATATATTTACTTAACTGTACCATGTTCAGCGCTTTGGGCTTCCTGACAGGGTTGCGGAAGGCGCTTTATAAATAAAGCTTTGATTGATTGATTGATTACTACCATACCTGATTACTATACCATACCTGATTACTACCAGACCTGGTTACTATACCATTCATGATTACTACCAGACCTGATTACTATACCATACCTGATTACTACCTGACCTGATTACCGACAACATAAAATAGGCTAAAAACCAGGAAAGACAACACGTCATTCTCTTCTATAACAAAAACCCCCAGAAGAACGAGGCAGGATGCAAAAGATTGCCCCATGGGAAAGTTATTTCCTTACTATCTTTTTAAAAATATGAAAAGTGTATCTTAATATTGAACCTCTCTGCACATTCCCATTGGACATCATAAAATTGTTTCCACCCGACAGCTAAAAGATAACTAATCATTGTTTTGTCTCTGCTGGCAGGCGTTCTGGTGGATGTGACCCAGAACTACGGTGCGGCCTTCTACTCCTGTGCCGTCGGCATGGGACTAAGTGCCATGTTCCTGGGTTTAGTTAAACCTGCTAAACGAGGATTTTCCTGCAGGAGGAGAAGCTTAAAACGCTTCAAGTGTGAAAGGAATGTCTGCTCCCAGCTGGGCAATGGAGAGCAGACACAGGACCAAAGACCTGACCGTCTAAAGTGCTGCTCTGTGTGAGATGGCAAGATGCAATTCAGCCGAGGAGGAGCCACAAAAGATGTTTGGGTGGTCACATCTTATGGATCATTAATGAATATAAGAGTAGGAGGTAAACTTCATCTGATAGCTGCATGAAGTGCTCAGGATCTGTCAGTATAGGTCAGAGAAAATATTTAAATCACAACATGTGCCTGTGCCTTAATATACCAACCAGCTTTTTAAAACGGGCACATTTTTATAAATCATACTGCTGAGTGAACAGCCATGACGTGTATGAAATCAGTGAGTGATGCAGTCTGATAGATACTGTAGTTTCTGAGGTTTTAACATGAAATAATAATGACTGAAAACTGTAAAGCTGCAACATTTAGATGCTGCAGGCTGATTCACACCTCAGACTCAGAAAACAAAAACCTCAGGAGGGTTAAGCCCTTTTTACAAGACACACCAGGCCGTCAAATCAGTGTAATAACATGGTCTGTCTTATAAATGCGCCATGCCGGCATGGCGATGTGCAAATTTTACAGCATTCGTTCCACTTGGCAGTAATAATGCGGTAATTGTCTGTCTGACCACTTGTAAACGACCTAAGGTTCCCCGATGCCGCTTCAGCATTGCGGCAAATTGACGAGATTGTTTTATAAAAACGGCTTCGTTTTCATTCAGACTGTTACCAAACTCACAACGCTGTCATAATCTCAGCTGTTTTTGTTCAGACACAATAAACCAGTGATGTGATCTGAACATCTGAATTACATGTTGCTGCTATTTTTAATATCAGGAGCCAACTGATCAGCTATTCTCACATCATGTTAGCATGTTTCGGCTAAACCAGTATTTATGAAACCTGATGTGTGAGCTGCTCAGCCTGGGCTTGGAGCTTCAGTGGAAGGATTCTTATGTTTTCTAACACAAACACGCTTGATCCCAAACGATGACAAAGCTTTAAGCAACGACCCAAAGCGATGAGTAGCATTCTCAGTATGGGATGGGGATGACTTTAATAGCACGTTTCTGTAAAACTGGCTGAGTTTTAGTCACTTTTCTCCCTTTGGTTGTTTTTTATGTGTTTTAAGCAATTAATGACCTAAGTTTGTGAAACTTGACCATTTTGCCACTAAAATAAACCAATAAATAAACTTAAAATGACCTTGACTTGTGTGTGTGTGTGAATATTTTGCGTATACACCACCCCAGTCTGACAGCCAACTTGCTACATGATGATGGGATTCAAGCAATCGCCAGGGCCATCAGGAGCAATCAAGGACTTACCTCTCTGCAGCAAGTGGAGTAGAAGGGAATCAAGTTCTCCAAATTATACAAGTCAGAGAAACGGTTTCTGCAATCACGCACACACGAGGCACCACATGCCCCTCTGGGATTAATAAAGTATCATTGAATTGAATTGAATGCAGACAGGCAGGACAGGCGAGGAGCACCCAGAGGGTTGACAAACATTGAACCAAGTCAAAACTGCAGCAGCAGTGAGACACTTGGTGTGTTTACATGCAGTGTCAGAAAACCAAATTTTTGCCTTAGTTCGGCTAAAATGTAACTTTTTAGATGCATGTAACACCTTAGACTGACTAAAGTAAAATCGAACTGTAATCAAGCTAAGGTACCCAGATGTTGCAGTTAGAAACCCGAACCTCTCTTCATCTAATCATCCCAAGTTAGCCGAGCATTGGCAGGCCTGGGCGCAAAACTTGTCTTCTGATATCATTGCCACAATCTTACATGCAACACACTCAAACCGTAGACATACCTAACGTACTGCGCTGTGGCGTTACGGTTGTCCATTTACTGCTATTCCTCTATCTGCTTCCCTCCCTCCAGCGTTTGTTTCCAATGTATTGTTGCTTTAGGCTATTTGCTATAATACCAACACAAAAGGTGCATATTGCCACCTACTGTTGTGGAGTTTGACACATTTCAGTCAATAATTTGATTTTCTTACAGACATGTAAAGTAGAATGAAGACTTCCTCTCTGATTAAGGTGTTAGCGTAATTATTTCCATTGCTCGACTTAGATGTAGCCTGCCTGGGAACGCTGTAGGGATGAAGGGAGCAAAGGCCCTGGCCAATGCCATGAAATGCAACAGAAGCCTCAAGCCTGAAATCACTGAAGTGAGTTTTGACAGCATCATGATGCTTCAGGGCCAAATATGATCTTGCTCTGAAGCTGATCATGAGTCAAATCGTTGAGATGAACTAACCTTTGCCGTTTCTTTTTTGTCAGTATCTTACTGCAAATTGTAAGCAGAATTTAGAGCGGAGTTCTCAAAATGTCTTGAAATTTCCTCCATGGTTTCCCTGAACTACTATCATTTACAAATCACTAATTCAAACTTTGTAAATACTAATGAATCTGACTCTGGGATTCATCAGCCTGCAGGAAAACTCTCTGGGAATGGATGGAGCCATTTTCATTGCAACAGCTTTAAAGGGAAATCACCAACTGACATACATCAAGTATGTTTTGCATGCTTCATGTTAGTCTATCCGCTGGCTCACAAGTCTGTAAAAGTAGAAGTTATTAAAATGTATTTATTCATTTTTGCAGTTTGCAAGGAAATGTCATTGGAGAATCTGGAGCAAAGGTCATATCTGATGCAATAAGAGCCAGCGCCTCCGGCTGTGTGGTGGACATCTAACTAAAGAAACTAATGATTTAAATCTACCAACATCTATAAACCAAACCCGCATTACCTCTGATACGCTCATGAAAGTGTGCCTGTAGAAAAAAAAAAGTTTTGTGGAGAAGCACATTATAGTTCAGCACTTTGAATATTAACAGTTTGTGTTCATTTGTTTAAATGAATCTTAAGATGTATTAAAGAGGTCTAAAGCCATATTTGTAATAACATTCAGCACATAAAACGAGTCTCATGTCTAAAAAGCAAAAGAAACATTTTCTCAGAATTCAGTAAGAAGAAGATTAGAGTGAATTGCTTTAAGCCTCTTTTTTACCCAAAACCTGAATCTGATACGGCCTTGTACGAGACAGTGGGGATCCACTTTTCTCAGCCTGTTTTCTGTGTAACTATAAAAAATAATATTGTGTGAGCCAAGTCCCTCCGCCTAACCTCACGTTACAAGAAAAGAAGGCAGTCGCATCACTGAGCAAAGACCACACCGTCACTATATTGCCAGCTGATAAGGGAAGGTGCACCGTGGTCCTAAACACAATGGATTACCATGCAAAGATCACTACTCTCCTCAGTGACAACACCACCTACGAAGCCTTAAGCGAGATCCCACAAGCAGCTACAAAAAGAAAGTTATAGCTTGCCTTCAAGGCCTTGAAAGGGACAAAACCATCAACCGCCTGACATATCACCGCCTTTATCCAGGAGATGCCATACCCTGCATCTACGGACTTCCAAAGATCCACAAAGAAGGTATCCCTCTCAGACCCATTGTCAGTAGCATAAATTCAGTCACCTACAACATCGCGAAACACCTTGCTACCATCCTCGCACCTCTGGTGGGGAACACCCCACACCACATCAAGAACTCCACAGACTTCACTGACAAGGTCCAGAAACTTACCCTGGATCCAGATGAAACCATGGTGTCCTTTGACGTAGTCTCCCTCTTCACTTGCATACCCACTACGGAGGCAGTGGAGACTGTCAGAAAACGACTACAAGAAGACAGCACCTTGGAGGACAGGACCAACTTCACACCCGATCAGATTTGCACACTGTTAGACCTCTGCCTCACCACTACATATTTCAAATACAACGAAGGTTTCTACAGACAAAAACATGGCTGCGCCATGGGCTCCCCCGTGTCACCTATTGTAGCCAACCTTTACATGGAGGAAGTGGAAAGAAAGGCTCTTGGCTCTTTTAAAGAGAGAGCACCCAGCCACTGGTACAGATATGTGGATGACACCTGGGTCAAAATCAAAACACAAGAAGTGGAATCCTTCACTACACACATCAACGCCGTGGACAAAAACATCAAGTTCACCAGGGAAAACATAAAGGACAACTGCTTGCCTTTCCTGGACTGCGCTGTGCACTTAGAAGAAAATGGCAACCTCAACATTGAAGTGTACCGGAAGCCCACACACACGGACCAGTACCTCCTCTTCGACTCATATCACCCTCTGGAACACAAACTTGGAGTAATCAAGACCCTACACCACCGGGCAGAACATGTTCCTTCTAAGCCGGAAGGGAAAAAGAAGGAACACACACATATAAAGCAATCACTTAAAACATGCGGCTATCCTAATTGGGCATTTATAAAGTCAGGAAATATGCACAGAAAAGAAGACCAGACACCAGAGAGGGAGGATAAGAAAGACAGGCGCAACAACCTTGTCATCCCCTATGTAGCCGGTGTATCAGAGAAACTCAGGAGGGTTTTCTCCAAACACAACACACCAGTGTACTTCAGACCCAGCAACACACTCAGACAGAAACTGGTTCACCCGAAAGACAAAACTCCTAAACACAAACTGAACAATGTGGTGTGTGCTGTACAGTGCAGCGAGGAATGCCCAGACCTCTACATCGGAGAAACCAAACAGCCACTTCACAAGCGCATGGCACAACGTAGAAGAGCCACCTCCACGGGACAGGACTCAGCAGTTCATTTGCATCTAAAGGACAAAGGTCACTCTTTCGAGGATGCCAACGTTCACATTTTGGACAGAGAGGACAGATGGTTTGAAAGAGGAGTAAAGGAAGCCATTTATGTCCACTGTGAGCAACCATCTTTGAACAGAGGCGGTGGTTTACGGCACCAACTGTCTG